ATAATAAACAGAATCGAAATGAAGAAGTACAGAATAGAAAAACAGCAGGCCAAATTAATAAGTAAAATCCTGGAAAACCCAAAGACTGTAACAATTTACTCTGCTAGTTTATTATAGAAAAAAAGAAAGTGAAAATATACAGGATAATAAATAATAAGAGGAAAAGCTGTTGATAGAGAAAAAATTTTAAGAAATGAAATTACTTTGGTGGAAATACATTTAAAAATGGAAAGGGGTAATTTTTTAAAACACACACATACAGACTCAGTGTAACCAACCTATAGAAACAACTTAAACCAATTTTCATAAAAGAAATAAAGTCATCAAGCAACTACTTCCCAAGAAAGCACAAGGCCCAGATGGTTTCATAAGATGGTTGATAAAAATAATAGCATGGGGAGCAAGACTCCCCATCATAAACCACCAAAATCACAAATATAAAAATATTCCTTCCTTAAAAGATGTTAACTTTACTTGTAGTAAGCAGAATGCAAATTAAAGCCATGAGATAACATTTCTTATTCATCAGATTGGTAAAAATTCAGAAGCTTGATGATCTATTAGTGATGCTATGGGGAATGACCTTATATATTGCTGGTAAATGTGAAATGCCATCTTTATGGAAAGGAAATTGGTACTAACAAAATTTTATGTATATACACCTTTTGTTTCAGTAGTATTATTTGTATTTTTGCAAAGCATTTAAAACTACCTAAATGTCCATGTGTCAATGTGAATCAATCAGATAAACTATTGTACACCATGGAATTCTATAAGAGAATGAGAAAGATCTATGTGAACTAGTTAATAAACCCATGAGAAGCTCAATATTATTGTCATTAGAAAAATTAAAAAAACAATTTTACATTTAGTAGAATGTTGATAAGAAACACCCTTTAACAAATGTAGAAAAATGAGGAACCTCCAATACATTGCTAGTGAGGATTTAAAATGGTACAGCCATTTGGAAAACAATGGTAGCTTCTTTAAAAGTTTAATATAAAGATACCCAGCAATTCCACTCCTAGATCTCTATCCCCAAATAAAAATCCATGTTCACAAAGACTTCCATGTGAAGTTCATAGCGACTTGAATGTGTATTATAGAAAAAAATTAAAATGTTCACCAACTCTTAAATTAATAAATATATGGCATATAATTATATTCAGCAATAAAAGAATCGAGAGGACTATGCTATGATAGGGATAAACCTCAACAACAGACTAGAAAGACAATTATTTCATTATTTATGATATCCCCAGAAAAGGAAGATCTATGGAGACAGAAAGTAGCTAGTAGTGCCCAGAACTGGGAATATGAAGGAGTAATTATAATTGGGCATGAGGGAATCTTACAGGTATGATGAGACGTATTCCAAAACTGAATCATGGCTAGGTTGTACAACTCTGTCAATATTTTTAAAAAATCTCTGAATGGTACAATTAAAATGGGTGAATTTTGTGGCACTAAGTTGTACTTCAGTATAGTTTTTTTTTTGAAGATCAGGTATGTGAATAACATGGTTACAATATGCATCAATACAACATTTTTTGAAAGATATTAGGATAACTGGTATGGTTTGAATATGATTTTTCTCCAAATTTCACAGTGGAGTTTAATTTTCATTGTAAGATATTGAGAGACTGCACACTTAACAACCATGTTTCGAGGTGGCGCCTTTGGGAGGTGATAAGTTTAAGATGAGATTATCAGGATGAAGCCTCAGGATAGAATGCAAGTGGCTTTTTAAGAGGAAGATACCAGAAGCTCTGCACGTGGGTCCATCTCTTGCATATGATGCCCTGCACAGCTTCAGGACAGCCAGCAGGGCCATCAACCAGATACAGGCCCCCCAACCTTGGACCAGATCTGTGAACTAAAATAAATCTTTCTTCTAACTTATGCAATCTGCCATATTATAAGCACCAGGAAATGGACTAATACAGTAATACATCATCCATCCAGATTTGCCCGATTTTCCCAGTTTTAGCTCTAACGATATTGTGTTCCAAGAAGTCCTTCACTCCTAGGCAAACTGGGATGCTTGTCTTTCTACGTGTATGCCAGGGAAGGGGTTGGAAAGGGGAAAAGGAAAACAGATTTATTGTTCTTCAAAAAAGAAAACTACAGGGGAAAACAAAAAAAGTAAAGGTGGGCACCTCTGAGGGATATGAAAAGAAACTACACTCTTTACATGCTTTGGAATAGTTCTGACTTCTACAAGCATGTTAAGTGCTATATATTTAAAAAATAAGAACAAATCAACAAAGATGGGTAGGGGTTGCAGAGAGGACCTTAAACCTTCAAGTAAACTGAAAAAATAATTGGATTATATTTCAACGAATAATAATTACAGTGGAGGGATAAAAGAACCAAAATTTATGAACAAACAGCATTATAACTATCCTTAATCTTGGATAGGATACACAAAGGGAGGGAACTGCAAACATACATTTTTTACAATGATATTGACAGAAGCAATTCTGTAACTACTTTAGATGTTACAGGGGTGAGCAAGTGAATGTTACTGGAACCAGGGTTTTGAGGAAAAAGATAGAAACACAGAATGGGAAAGGCAAGGATGCACCCTGAGAGGATGCCTGGGATTTGGAAGTGTTGGTGTGAACTCATGATTTCTGAAATCATTTTTGTGGTACATAAGCACATCAAAATGTGTCCATGAATATTTGTACATATATCATTTCCTAGTTCCGTTTGTTGTATGGCCTAGAGCATATACTCATTAGCAATGAATACACCTCAGGTCTGGATCCAAGTATCTAATAACTTGCCCTAGGGTTCTATGGAGAAACTGCTGATATAGATCCCCAATATCTTTTATGTAAGTAGAGAAGGACTCTTGCCAAATCTAAGGCAATTTCAGCACCAAAGTAATTGCATTAATGACTTATACACCACTGGGGGGGAAGAGGGAGTGAAAAAATACTAGATAACTGAATCTATAGCTGTAACAGAGTTTAGGTAGATATAGATGGATGGATAGAAGCATGGATTGGGGACAGTGCTGCTTTCAGTAGAATGATGAGTGCCAACTGCAACATGTGGAAGGAATGCTGGAGTTGCAAAATCATCACAGAAACTCCCAAAATATAATCTAAAGGATCATCAATGGATTTTAAATGCTGGGAGAAAATGTTAATGTAGACTTCTTGTTTCACAGAGACTGTTTATTAATTTCAGGGTAAAAACTAGTAACTATACATCGAAGAAACAGAACTGCACCATGACCAGGTGATCAAGATTCATATCACCAATGAGGAGATAAGATATTGTATGTTCCTAGATGTCATGTCCTGATGACACAGTCACCAAGAAAGTATTCTGACCAAAAATGCACAACTTGGATTTAATCATACGGAAACCCCAAATAAGAAACATTATATTAAAAGAGAAAAACAAGGGGAAAGATAATTTTCTCTTCAAACACCTGTCAATGCCTTTTAAGTCAAAGGCAGCCCAAATGAGGGAAAATTAAGGCAGGGCAAAAACAATAACAAAAAAAAAAAAACCATGCAAATGATTAAAAAAAAAAAAAAAGAAGGTAAAATTCTAACAGGCTAATTTGGGTTAAAGGTGTATGGATGTTCTTTGTAATATTCTTCTTTTTGGAAATTTTCTGTAAATTGGAAATTTTTCCATAAATAGTTAAAAAATTATAAAGGGCTTACATTAGTTTGCCAGCCACATGTCCTGATAATTATTAATATATAATCTTAAAAAACTAAACAAAAAAAACGAAACTCATGTTGTTAAGTATTGGGAAGGAGTATTTTAAACATCCCAAACAGCAAAATCTCCAAATAAAGACGTTCTGAAAATTAGCCCCCTTTCTGGGGGCATAGTTCATGAAAACAGAAGGCCAGAGATGGTCGGCAATAAAAGAGAAAGAGTGCTTATAAAACAAGTGATTTGGGACATTCCTGGTAACCGCCAAGTTCTGTTAAGAAAATAAAACAGGAGGAATGACAGTATTTGGTTTATGTAAGAAAAGCATGTTCCAAATAAAACTCTTCTTTCTTCATATATTCACAAGTCTGTTCTGCAAATAATCATGTATTTTTTTTCTAAGAGTGAATGATACTTTATGCCCAAAATAAATAGTAAAGTCACCAATTCTATTTGTCTTACTGGCTATGTATCCTTGAAGAAAAATCAAGTAAAATGTTCATAAATTATGATATCTCATCCAATATCTATAGAGGCTTTTGCTTCTTCCCACATATTTCTTGTTTCTATTTAACAAGATGATTTACTTTTATGTGGTCAATGATAATAAGTCTTTAAAAATCCATTTTGAAAAAATGGAGCAAAAAATAACAACTGCATTAAAGCAAAAAATTATATTGTCAACAGGAATTTAGTTTAATATCTTTATAAAAGATAAACAAATTCTGATTTTTTCCTTTATTTTATAATTGAAAAATGAAATCACTTAACATGAATACTTAATACATAATTTCCTTAAAACTTCTCTATGGTGAAACAAAATTGTACATATTTAAAGAGTGTATATAATAGTAACACTCAAGACAATTTCAAACCAACTATTGGTATAACTTTAAATTACTATTAATTGTGGCTATTTTTGAAAAAGAGATGTGCAAAGCTTACTAGGGCCCAGCATACCAGAAATACTTAATTTCTCAGAGTAAAATCTACAATGTTACATGGTTCCAAAAGTGGCATTATAGTGTGAAGACACTATAAACTGCTCTCTCTTTCTCAGAAGTCTCTTAAAACAGACTGGAAATAATGGAAAAATATTCAGTACCCCCTATGTAATAACAAAAATATTTCTGTTGACTACTTTTTGCCCAAAGTGATTAAGGACAAAAAATAGGAATTGTTGTTGCTTTATTATTTGATAAACTGCTAGTAAGTTCCCATTAGAAGTTCTTTAGATATTATACCAAGTTGTCTTGGTCTTCTGATCATATATATACACACACATATATATATGCATCTTTTTTCAAGTAAAGAAATGTTTAACAGATGTAAACTATTTATTGAATATTTGCCACCAAATATTGTTAAATACATTATCTTGCAGCATATCGCTTTCAAGTTAAAATGTCAGAAACAAACACCAATATTTACAATTCTTTTAAGGAATGTTATATAATGACACATTAAGGCGTAAATTCTTTTGGCTTATAATTCTTAAAAGAATGATAATAGCAAAAGTGATGCAAAATCTTCAGTGTGAGATTATGATTAAGCTACATTTTACAAAAATATGGTGTAAGATGGCAATAATCCCATTCAACATCCTGGATTAGATCCCTTCAGGAGGGACTGATAATTTATACAGTCAAACTTTAAAATTTACAGATAAAGGCAGTTTAATACTGCCACTGAGAAGTACATCTCTTAACATATACAACTTTCAGGCCACAGTTTTGAAGGTCTGAAGTATCAAGTTGGTTTGATGAATTAGTCGGTTGGCACTTATGAACACATTTATTGCCCTGTTTTAAAAGAAAAAGAACATGCATTAATTTCACCCCCCAAATCCACCCTTTCAAAATAGTTATCCTTAATGACATGTATCAGTCGCAACAAAATCATTTGGGAAAATAAAAACATTAGTAGTGAGTATTAAAAACTTTCATTCTAGTTTGGGATTTAATGGTGTTGTAGCATTTCAAACTATAGGGTCTAGGAATTACTGCCCCCTGGTGGTTCTGGCTGGCAAGAAGGTGTTGGAGGGTTGCTAATGATAGGAGTCAGTCCCTCAATAATCAAGAAAAGTTCATTCACAGGTCAAATAACAAGTGAAATAACTAGCCAAAGGAGGATTCAGATGTGATCTCTTGCTGTGGTTTCAGAGAAGTCAACAAAATCTGGACAAGTATTATACTCACTCTCAAGGTCTGAAATTCAAAAGAGCCTGATAAATATTTAAGAAAAATTACTTCTAATCTGATTTATACCAACTTTCTCTTCTTTCAAATTACAATTAATACGCTTTTGAAATAAAATAAGCATGTGGTTTCAACATCTAGGACCTGACAATGTACAATAATATACTCCTTAAAAATGTTTTATGCTCCACGATATTCTTTTTAAAATATTTTTCAGTTGTAGTTGGACAAAATACATTTTATTTATATATTTATTTAATGTGGTGCTGAGGATCGAACCCAGGATCTTGCAAGTGCTAGGTGAGCGCTCTACCACTGAGCCACAACCCCAGCCCCCCCACCACATTGTCTTAATGGTCCATCATTATGTGAACTGGAACACAAAACTGATGCCCTAGTCCTACAGTGCAGCTTTACTGATTTCATAGCAAAGTCAAGATTTGTATTTTTATCCCAGACATTTCTCAAAAAAGAAGCAGAAATTGATTAGATCAATCAAAGCAAATTCACCCCTACTATAAAAAATGACTTAAGAATAGTTTTCCATTTTCAGAAAACAGGTACAAAACTTATAGCATGTTATTCATACATAAAAAACTGGAATTTAGAGAAGCTGCTCAATTGAAAAAAAAGTATCAGAAAAAGCTGAATAATACATGACACAGTAAATAGATTCAGATTATTGAAAAGTAGGTTCTAGGGGGCTGGGGATGTGGCTCAAGCAGTAGCGCGCTCGCCTGGCATGCGTGCGGCCCAGGTTCGATCCTCAGCACCACATACAAAGATGTTGTGTCTGCTGAGAACTAAAAAATAAAATACTAAAAATTCTCTCTTAAAAAAAAAAAAAAAAGAAAAGAAAAGTAGGTTCTAAATTTCTACCTTTCAATGTGCTTATGATTAAATCTAGTTTACAAAATGAAGTCATTAAGAAGCATTTCCTGGGGCTGGGGTTGAGGCTCAACAGTAGAGTGCTCCCCTAGCCATGTGGAGGCCCTGGGTTCGATCTTCAACACCACATAAAAATAAAATAGAGGTATTGTGTCCAACTACAACTAAATAAACAAAATATGTATATTTTTAAAAAGAAGCATTTCTCAGAATTATGGAAAAAAATCCATATAAGTAAAATCACTAATATGATATAATGTATAAGCTAAATGTAAATATTTCAACCTGTTTGAACTGTTAAAACTGACTGAAAATTAGAATTTCAGTGCATTTCCTTATTTTAAAATATTACTACAACAATATCATAATGGTCTGGTATGTACATAGGGATCTTAAAGCTCCAATAAATCAAAAAGAATAGATGTTTGAGACCTTAAACATTGTTAGAAAACAGGCTTGTTCACAAAACTCCTAGTATTTTACTTCAAATACAAAGAACTATCCATATGAAAGAAAGCTACAGAAAACATGTCTTGCCCTCTGAACCAGTTTATACATTATATGTAAATATGTGTATATATGTAAAAACATAAAAACTTCTAGGTTTTCTATAGTTCTCTATGATCAATCCAATGTAAACTTAAAAAACACTCCAAATTTACATATACATCTTACATAAAAGAATGATACCATAAAATCCAATGTAAGCCTCCTTTCCAGGACTGGATCCTAACCCTTGTGGTGTTTTTTTTTTTTTTAGCTACAGATGGACACAATACCTTTATTCTATTTATTTATATAAATATTTTTGTGGTACTAGGGATCACACCCAGTGCCTCAGACATGCTAGGCAAGCACTCTACCACTGAGCTACAACCCCAGCCCCCTTGAGGTGTTCTAAAATCACCTGGAATGCTCTCTCACCAAATATCTAGACCCTGGACACACATTAGGATAAATGAGTCAGAATTTCTGAAACTGGAGTCCAGGAAAAGGGATTTTAAAAAAATGGACCCCAAGTGATTCTAAAATGCAAACAGGATAGCATACTGAATCTCCAGGAGCTTCATTATCACCTGAAAACTTCTTAGAAATTCAAATTCTTGTCCCCCACCTCCACACCAGAGCTACAGAATCAGAACTACTGAAGTTTTAGAACCATTGCTTCAGGAGTTGGTAAAAATGCTTTTATATTTCTAAAGGGTTAAAGATAAAAACAAAAGAAGTACATTATGTGATAGGTGAAAATTACACAAAATTAAATTTCAGTGTCTATAAACATTTATTAGAATACAGCTATATCCACTAGTTATATTACCTATGGCTGCTTTTGTGTCACAACAGCAGAGGTGAGATGGGCAGTTGCCACAGACTCAGAATCTAAGATATTCACTATCTGACCCTTTCCTGAAAAATTCTAACAACTCCTGCTGCGGACTACATTAATAGCTGGGTTAGCAGCCATTCATTTTCTAATAATCTCTGCCTTTGTCACTAACTGCTCTGAGCATTACCAATATTTTAATAAAAGGGCTTAATTTACATGGTTTTAATATCATATAAACAACATTATCTATTCAATTTTAAAAGAAAAGGAAAACAACATTACTTACTTGCCATCTTTAAAATATGTTTTCAGAGTATCACTGAAACTTTTCGAGTACTTTACAAATTCTTTCTTTTGGTGTTCAAGTGCCTACATTATGAATAGCAAGAAAAAATAATAAATAACAAAGTCAAAAATTAGAGTTTACACAGAATATGGCATATATGTTTCAGAGCATCATTTTTAGCAATATCTATTTAAACACATGTAACAGCATATTTAAATTGAGTACAAACCTAATGGTTAATAACATAATTTTCAATAATCAAATCCTCTTACTATTTAATTCAATAATATAACCAAGTGTAAACAATATTTTGGGTGGCAAGGAGCAAGGTTTCTACTTACCCTGCGGTTCTGGTATTGATATTTCTTGAAGACATTATTCACTGTATCAAGAAGTTCTTTTATTGCACTAGCTATATCCCTGTTAAGAAAGGAAACAATCTTCAAAATCAACTATATTTGAAAGCAAAATGTACATGCACGTTTAACTACTAATAGCAGACTCAGGATTATCATACGTATACTTTACCATGGGCCAATGTTTGATTAGCTGGTTAGAGTGGGAGTTTAGTTTCAAAAATTTTTCTAAGCTTCTAATTGTCTTCCTAAATCAACATGATTTCATTATAACATCAATTTTCAAAGAAAGTATTCCTATCCCTATGTCTTTCTTTATCAATTTTTGATTTACTTTCCAAATGCCATGTATTGAATTAATGAATTCGCATATAATAAATTCAAGCTACCATACTCTACACTTCGGTTATTTTATAAATGATTTTATAAAATTTTACATTTCATGTAACTAATTTCTGCATTAACCAACATTTCACCTTATATACTATTCTTTTTTTTTTTTTGTGTGGTGCTAGGGATTGAACCCATGGCCTTGCAGGCATGCAAGGGAAGCACTCCACCAACTGAGCTATATCCCCAGCCCACCGATCAGTTTTAATGTTAAAACACTTCTTCAATGGGTGCCTGTAATCCCAGTGGCTCTGGAGGCTGAGACAGGAGGATCACAAGTTCAAAGCCAGCTTCAGCAATTTACTGAGGTCCTGAGCAACTCAGTGAGACCCTGTCTCTAAATAAAATACAAAATAGGGCTGGGGATATGGCTCAGTGGTTAAGTGCCCCAGTATTCAAGCCCCAGTACAAAACAAAATAAACAAACAAAAAGGCACTTCCTCCTGAGAGGAGGCCTCTTCTCTCTTAATGACATTTTAACTTCCACCTACCAACTAAATATCTTTCAAACCTTGCTATTTCTTTTGGAAAATATACTTAAAGTAATGGGAGAGACAAGATCCAAATACCCTACCTTAACTTTTCCAGCAATCATCCTTTGACTATACATGCATCATCATATTCCTACTCTTTGTGAGAGAAAAGAGATCAATAACTCTCATTTGAATTGATTATCCTTCCTTCCTAACCATGTAACATTTTTCTGAACCATTCTTGTCTTTTATATCTATGGCCTTTTCAATTTCCACATTCTAACTTCATAGCAATTTTTTTTCTATCAATCTGAACTCTACATAACTGCATTCTCAAAAAGTCTCACATTCTCTAAGGGTGGACTTCTATTTTTTACATCCATTCTCTTAGCTGTTAAAGATTTTGCTGTTCAAATGTAACATGAACTTGAAGATATGAATTAAGACATAGATGCATACCATCTAACACAATAAATATTACTAATTTTTTAATCACATGTCATTTTTTAGTTATTCATACCTTAAAAAAAAAAAATCTCAGCTTCACTCTTTGTGGGAAGAAAAAAATGGTCAGTGTCCAGGATTCTGTGAGCATGTGCATGTTTGTCAGCATAGTCTTCAGTAAATAAGCATGTGGAAATTCAAATAATTATAGGCATATAGAATGTGTATTTAATAAAAGCATTTTAAAGTATTATAAAATAGTTAAATTTTTAAATAAATACTTATTCATCCTGTATGTCAAACATTGGTATTAGGCAAAAACATTAAAACATTACATATTCAAATAGGACAATGAATATCACATAGAAATGCCATCTATTCACTTTTTTTTTTTGGTCTACAGTTCAGTAACAGCACTTCGCCAAGGGCCAATGTTTGACTATATATAACAGCTCTTTTAATTTTCAACCAAATTTGATCTTTCTACATCGCTGTGATGTACAAAAATCCATCACTATTTAATAAAATGGTGCCATATGACCATCCTATTTTCCAAGAAAAACTACAATATCCAGAAATAATAAATGTTAAATCTACTCAGAAAGCAAGGTTCATCAAATTCACAATGCAGCTATCTAGGAATAAAATATATAGTGATAAGAATTTATATAAAATCTCACTGTGTATTATATTTAATGGTCTGCAAAAACAGGATCATAAAAATGTGCTTCCAGGGTCAATCAATAAGACGAACATATTCTTTCTCTATATAGGATACAGGTCAAAAGAGTGGTTCTGAAATAGGGTATTTAACATATGGAAGGAGAGGGAAAAGAAAAGGCAGGGAGAGAAGGGAGAGATTTGATAGACCCCACCTCACATCTGCTTTTAAGAATTTGGAATCTGAAAAATAAGGAAAAAAATGAAACAAAAACCAAAAATTTAAAAAGAAATTATTCATATATATGTGTTTTATACAGGAGAATCTGTCTCTACTTTTAAAACAGGGAAAGGAAAGTCACTTACCAAAAAATAAAACAAAAAAAACAAAAAAAACCCTGCTAGGTGACTGCTAGTAAGCCACATCTGAAAATTATTGTTTGGGACAAGGAGCTAGCAAGATTTGATGCCTTACTGGCACAGAACTTTCATAAACGACTCTATTGGCAACCCAGGTAGTATACACCTATAATCTAAACTTGGGAGCTGAGGCAGGGAAACGGTGTTTAAAGTAAGAACAAAGCACTAAGCAATTCAGCAAGACTCTGTCTCAAAATAAAATGTAAAAAAGGGCTAGGGATATGATTTAGTGGTTAAGAATACCTGGATTCAATCCCTGGTATCAAAAAAAAGAAAAAGATTCTATTGACCAAGTCTGTTTATCTTTAAGCTTGGCCTTCAACTTGGATATTAGGCGAGACACTGCTAATGGCTTACCAAATGCTGAAAAATGTGCTCTATAAACAATCTAAAATAATTTATGTCAAATGTTTCCTTATGTACACAGAAAATAATTTTTGTTTATGATGCCAAGGCTTGTTTTAGGGAAGCAAATCATATTAGTAATTACCTGAGAGTTTGTTTCCTACATGAGAAAACACCAGCACAAAAAAATACTTAAGATGATACAGAACTGGAGTAAAATAAAATTATCCTATAATGATGTAGTTTGGAGCAGATGGATTCTGTGATGAGGGACAGATAGTGTAAGTGAAACGAGAAGAAATTTAGCAATTTGCAGCTATTTAGTAGTAGGGCAACTTTTGGGAAACATATACACTTTCTGAAAGACAACAAGTATCAGATGAAATGTAACATATTTTATAAAAAACAGATGGAAGCCAGCATGGTTGAGCATGCCTGTAATCCCATCAGCTGGAGAGGCTGAGGCAGGAGGATCATGATTCAAAGACAGCCTCAGCAACTGACTCAGGCCCTAAATAACTCAGGGAGACCCTGTCTCTAATAAAATACAAAAAGAGGCTGAGGATGTAGCTTAGTGGTTAGGTGCCCCTGGGTTCAATTGATAGCACACCCCTCCCCCCCCAAAAAAAACATGGAAAAGTAAATCATGCCACCCCAAGCCAAATGATATATACTTATACCAACACCCTGAAGGAAGAAACCCTAGTACTAAACAACTCTAGAAAAACTACTCTGAAGCCATAGTGAAACTGACTGGAATATACACACATAGACCACAAAGAGTAAACAAATGAATGCATGGTGTTTTTTTTTTTTTTTTTTTAGAGAGAGAGAGAGAGAGAGAGAGAGAGAGAGAGAGAGAGAGAGAGAGAGAGAGAGAATTTTTTTAATATTTATTTTTTAGTTTTTGGCAGACACAACATCTTTGTTTGTATGTGGTGCTGAGGATCGAACCTGGGCCGCACGCATGCCAGGCGAGCGCGATACTGCTTGAGCCACATCCCCAGCCCAAAATGCATGTTTTTTTTGATCTAGTAAATCAAGTTTCAACTAGTAAACTATTAATTTGAATGCATCGACTTGAAATCTACAGCTGTGTACAGTGATGAATGTCAGTAATCCCAGAGGCTTAGGAGGGTGAGGAAGGAGGATGACAAGTTTAAAGCTAGCCTCAGCAACTTAAAGAGACCCTGTTTCAATGGGGTGAGGGGGGGGAGGTCTGGGGATGTGGCTCAGTGGTTAAGTGCCCCTGAATTCAATTTCTGGTACCCCAAAACAAATCTACAAATTAATTCTATAAAATATCTGCATAAGTTCAAATGTAGTCAAACAGAGGCATTGATTAATCAAAAGAAGTTTGAAAATATTTACTAGATCATTTTTTCTTCTCATCAACTTTGGGAATTTTTTTGTTTTGTTTTGTGTGTGGTGCTGGATATCACTCAGTTTGATCCACATGCTAGGCAAGCACTCTACCACTGAGTTTCAGATACAGAACTGGGGGTAAAATAAAACTATCCTTTTTTTCACACTGCTAGCACATGCTGTGATTAGATACTAGAGTATATACTATATAAGACTTTATGTACATGATTTCTTTCAACTCTCACAAATACCACCCTCATTTTAAGAGGTGGAAATAAAAATGACAGAAGATAAACAACTTATAAGAGCACAGAACCACGTGTTGGAGGAATGGAGACTTAAACCTAAGTCTGTTAGTACATTAAAAATAAAAAAGCACAGTTACTAGTTGTCAGGAATCATTTTACTATTTGAATACAACCTATAGCATCACCTTTAATACACAGTATAGTAGTTCTCTGACACATGCTTAATGAAAAATGTTGCTAAGATAAATGATTCAGTAGGATAAATACCTTGAATATGAAAATAAAATATTTTAAAGATAAAATAGTAATTGCACAATGTGTTGTGCTTGAATGATGCAACATTTTTTATTCTGGTGGGATTTTATCCACTATTAGTCCAACAATTAACAGTGGAAATGACATGTATCAAAATGTACCAGAATATATCACATTGATACAAATAATTAGATCTTAGCAATCTATGCTATTCATACATAGCTGAGTTTAACACTTAGAAATAACATACATATCCAAAAACATACCAGGGCAAACTATTCTTCCTAAAATGATTAGAAAATAAATTTACATTGCCATTACTCTTAATTCAGTTATGCTACCTACACTCTAGAAGATAGAACTATTACTATTTCCCCATAAATGAGACAAAGTCCCAATAAAACATCTATTAATAATAAATGGGACAAAGGGTGTTCTATGGAGAACACTCTTCAGTTCCTGAGTTCAACTTCCTCAAGACTAAAATGTAGCTATTATTAATGTGGTTTTCAAACTATATCTCCCTAGTGTCAAAAGCTTTAGCGGATCTGCCCCAGGGGTTCCCCGCTGGAAAAAGGGGATGTCAAAGAAAAAAGGATGAGGGTTCTAGGCCTATTATTTCTATCAAAATACTGTTATCTCTCTTACATACTGGCATTTTACATAAAACATTCTTTATTATACTTCTTTCAAATAATAAAAACCTTTGACAACTGCCAGATTAGATCAACATCGTGATTAGAAAGCAGCACAGAAGACCTTGGTATAAGACCTTGGGAATAATACCTAATTCCTGTGCTTCAATTTCCCCTTCTTTTACAGAAATTGTAATAAGTTAACTTAGGTAAAGTGTTTAAAATAGGGCTTGAAACAAAATGGTTTCTATATAGGTATTTACCGTTATTAAGATGGCATTGATCCTATAACCCCTATTTCAATGATCTGAAGCAAAATCTGATGAAAATGTTATTTTAAATGTCAAACCTTCATAGATATGTAGCACGGCTTATCACTAAAGATACAATTATTAAAAAAAAAAGTGCCCAGGTCTGAGCGCATTTGTGTTATAATTACCCTTCTTGCTGCTATTCTGCAGCCAGCCTGCACTATAGTCCCTTGGTAGATTCTATTTTACTTAACTTGTATACTACCAGCAAGAATTTGGAGGTTCACACTTTGGTCAATATGATTCTATTTGTGTTCATGACATGCCACAAAACAATAAAAATCATTAACAAAATTGGTATCTTATTACTATTCTTTCAATTTATCTAATTTCTCTATTCATTTTAATCTGACATTTATACTTTTCCACTAGTTATACAGTTCAAATTACACTGTTGTGCACATTTTAGTCACTGTTGTTTTTAAATTAAACCTTCTGAAAATATTAAACTCTTAGGCCAGTTTAGAAATGAACAAAAACACAACATTTACAATTTTCAAATTTCATTTAAAATTAATATTTCAACTTAATAGCATGTTAAAATTTAAAAAAAAAATCTAGAATATACAGTTCCTTTGAAATGCTATTAAGGGAAGAACCAAAACAAAAAATCACTTACTTGATTGTCTGCAGAAACCTCACTCTGTCATTGATCTCATCTGGGATTTTACTGAGAATCTGTTTAAGTGCTCGTGCCTTTTCATTTAGGTCCTGGAATTCTGGCTCTGGTCGTTCAATCATATACTCTGATAGGACAAGCACAAAATAAAAGACATCATGCAACTAATTCCCTGACAAATTCAGGTCAAAGAATTTCCAATTATGATCAAAGGGAGTGGGGGAAGAGAAAGGTCAGATAGTTAGAAAAGACAAGGTTGCAAAGAAGATTCATTAGAGTTTAATTTAGTCCAGAAATAACAGTAGGGTTTCCACTTTGTAAAAAAATTAGACGATGAAAAATTAAGCATTCCCAAGTTAGGGTAAACAGAAATACCTTAAAGTGTTCAGAAAAAAAAAAATTAATAGGAAAGTTGAGTTTAATAATTTTAAACACCCATACTAAAAATAATTATAGTTCATTATATCAAATCCCCAAAACCTACTAAAATTTTCAACATATTCTTGAAATCTCACTGAAAAACACAATACCACAAATCCAACACAAGGGCTGGGGTCACAGAATAGCAATTTTGAAAAGAGGTTCAACCAGTCTTTGGCATAGGGGAAATAAGCCTATCACCAGGTTCACTGTGGATCTGGAAGCAATGTAACTCTATCAATTCAATCTAATATAAGCTGCAAATGCTTGTCTAAAGAATGATGAAAGTTTTACTATAAATCACAGAATCAGTTAAAACATCTCCTATTTGTTTTCTCTTAATAAACATGTAAAATTATACCTTTTTATTTTCTAAATTACTGAGAAAATGGCTACTAATATTAAATAAAACCCATTTTTAATTGTTATTTAATACTTACTTTTTAGTTGTAGTTGGACACAGCACCTTTATTTATTTATTTATTTATTTATTTATTTTTATGTGGTGCTGAGGATTGAACCCAGGGCCACGCATGTGCTAGGTGAGCACTTACCGCTGAGCCACAACCCCAGCCCTCTAATCATTTTTTAAAAGCAAAAAACAAAACTACAAAAAAAAAAAAAAAAAAGAAAAGAAGTCCCAAATATTTGCTTGAAAAAAATAAATGCCATACTAAAAGTTTAAAATGACAAACAAAATGCTCATCACTTTCAAGCTCAATAGAAAATAAAGTAACCATCCCACAGAGCTTATAGTGAAACTGGAACTTGCTATATATTTTACTAATGGGGAAAAAAATTAAAGCATACATTATCAGCAAATACTGATTCATACCATTAAATTTTACAAATGTTAGATAAAAACAAAGAAGAGCTGCTTTTCTATTTTATATAGATTGCTTCTACTATCATTACAATAAGAAGAGTAAAGGGAGAGGAGGGAAGGAAAAACCTTTTGTCAAGTGACAATGATCTGGAGAAGTACTGTCAACAACTATAAAACTGAACAAGGCTCTTCTTTCTGATACCTTCTACATCATCAGCTGCCATTCGAAGAAGGGACTCCGTGAAATTAACTTCTACACTTTTTTTCTCTAAAATTTTCATAATGATGTCTTGTGTGAGACCTGGATTTTCTTTTTCAGCCTATAAGAAAAAAATGCCAGTTTTGAAACAGAGACATGGAAACAGCATTTTAAAGTTCACTGATGAGAATTTGTTGGGAATGTTGTAGACAGATTACTTATAAAACTAGAAGTCTTTGTGAAGCAAGTATGCTTTGTTAGAGCTTTTGTATTAGTAACTTCTACTATATCCAAAGTTCCCAGTTTCCATTTGAACATAAACTAGTTAATATTTAATCATCCATTATATTCTCTCACAATAAAACTAATAACAAAGAAACAACAATCATATATATTTTGGTAATCCATAAAATTACTCTTTTAAAATACACTGAGGATTTTTAGTTTAACATTGCAACTTGAAGATCAAACAGTAACTCATTTCACTGGTATTGGGCAAATCCTTTGCATTTACATCTTAAAAAATGCCAGGAAAACCAAAAATAAAACAAAAACTAGAAATTCTTCTATAGTTTTTTTGAAGCTATATAATTTTCCATAATAATTTTAATATCCTGTTTCTGTGGCATAAATATCCACTAGCTTTCAGAACACCATCTACTATCTTTTGTGTTTATTGCACTAGTGAATTTGCATTGGTTCTGTTACCTAGACTCCCTAAGAATTAATATCTTCTAGCCATATGAAGACTGAATATAGAGACTTCTGAGTTTAATGGGGATAATTTTCAAATTTTTGTTTTTCCTAGTAATCTGGGCACATTTATTTAATTTTTTTAAAAATCATATTCAAAGTTTGTTTCCTTTAGGACGCCTGCCAATTTAAATCCTTATTGTTGATGATTTTTTTACCCTAATATTGAAAGCAAATAGAAATACAATTTATGATCCTAATCAGATGGCAATCTTTTTGCTTCCTTATGTGTCAAGTACACTTAACCTCTGCCTCTTCAATTCTACTCTGATATCACTGTAGTTACAGCTTTCTTCTGTTCCTATTGCTCTTTCCATTATAACATCTTGTTTCTTATTAGATCTCAAATATCAAAAACTGAAAGGTCGTGGAATGAAACGGGAAAAGAGAATATATACATTCATCTCAATCCTACTATCATTTCAATTGCTGTTGAACACTATTCACTTTGATAGATTAATAACAATAAACTGTGTCCAAATGAATTTCATTTCTTTTATAGCTTATGTTGGTTTTTCTGCCATAGATATATTTAAGATAGAAACAAACAAACAAAAAGTTGCCCTTAAAAGAAAAGTTATCCAAATATGGCTTAAGATATGTTATTACAGGATTAACTAGGTGAAGTGTGAAAAAATTACATTTAATGCAGTATTTGGTAGCAGTGCTTTACCTTCCCTCTCAAAACATTAAATCTACCTCCATAATAATTAACTTGTGTGGTGAGGCAGGGGAACTTCTCAATGTGCTTCAGGAAATGTCAGCAGAAAAATTATATTAAGGAATAAAAGAATTAAGTGCAGTATGTCTGAACACAAAAGTTTTAAAGACTAAATTGATTTGCCTTCCCCCACTCAATGGCAAATCTGGAGTATTACAAGTCTTACAGAGGTCTTTAACTTTCTGAGTTTACAATGCCATTAATGTCAAAAGACATATCTGATTATGCTGTTTATTAAGTAGTTAGGTTCAAATAACATAATTAATACTATGTCCTAAGCACTTAGTAACCTTAGTAAATAATAGATACATAATGAAAAAATAGTACTTACTTCATTCCTGAATACTTATTAATAAGATGTTGCATGTATCAGGCACTAAGCAATTTCTCAGAAACTAGATTCAGATTGAACCTGCAACCTCCATTTCCTCTATTGCATAGATTATTTTGTGGTGCTTACTTTTTATCTGAGCAGAGACCAACAGTCCACCTTCACAAAGGTATTATACCATTTAAAGGAACACAAACCAATGTAATAATATGTTGAAATTGACAATTACTTTAAGATATAGTTCAGGCAGTATCAAAAAGATGTTGAATATCACATATTGCTTTCAAAAAAATATTTCACGGCACCTTTCTGAATTTGCTGTGAGGCCCCAGGATGCCTGAGCACATAGTTTGGCAATAATAATTATGTGTCTTCTTGCTAAAGTCCTATTTAAGCAAACTGCTTCTCAGTTTAAAAACTTAAATTTACAGAATGTCTCTGATTGATAAACAAGTAGATGATCTACCTGCACTTGCAAGTTTCTCCTCAGAAATCAATCTTGAACTCCAAGGGTATCCAATCTTTAATAAAGAAGCCAGTATGTAAGACAAATATACTAAAAGGAAAAATGTACACTCTTATGGCTCAGTGATTCTCAACCTGAGAGACAGAACAACCTATAAAGAGCCCAGAGGGTATGGGGGTAGGTGATAAAGTAAAATATATATCTTACAGCATCTGCTCTAGTCCACCCCGTGGATGCCTAAAAAGTTTTTCTCTAAAAGCAAATAAACTGACAACTATCAAATAGTATTTAGACTTACACATATTTTTCATATATTTTAATCATGAATTATCTGTATCTTACCTTAATGAAAGCAGCTCTCAGTGTCTGAGCTGCAGACAAATTTACTCTTTCTAGCTGCAATAAAAAATTTAAATCATTATTAGTATCAATTTCTTGGGAAAAGCACTTTTCTGATATTCCATTCTCTTATGCTGCATTGCCACAGCTGTAGTCTTGCTAGGCAAATATATTCCAATGTGTCTATGTGTGATGAATATAAAATGACCAATAAACGGAAAACATTCTATTTACCACCTTATTTCTTTTTAGTTATTTTTCAACCCGTCAACCAGAGATTAAATGGATATTCTCATTTTATTGATTAGCAAGTTGTGATGAGGAACGATCTATTTGATACTCAGAAGACCAAATGGTATGGATTTCAGAGAGTCTTATCACCTATATTCTACTGTACCAGTATTAAGAAATGATTATCTAAAATAGTGATTAAACTTTCCTATGAACACATGTGAACATACCATAGTGAATTTCACCTTTATATATTTCCATAATGCACTAATTTAAAAAGGAAAACTATAAACAAAGATGAGTAGGGGAGAGGAAAGGGAATGGGGAGGGAGGCAGGCAGGGAAAGGGGAAGTAAAGGGAACTGAATTGGAGCAAATTATATTCTAGGATTGTGTAATTATGTCAAAATGAGCCCCAGTATTTTATTTATTTATATATATACATATATACACACACAACTATATATAATGAACTAATAAAGTTCAATTCAAACAGCATTAATTTTATGTCAAATGTAGTTTTATTAATTATAAAAGATAAATGTCTTTATTATATACATCACATTATATATTAAATAAGTTGATAATTATTAAATAATAGTATAATATTGATATTACTTCATTTTCCAGTGAACCAAAGAAGGCACAGAATTTCATATAAATACTTTTCTGTTGAAGAGTTAATTGCCAAGCTTAAAAAAACTAACTTCAGTTAAATTCAGAATTTGTTAGTCCCTAAGATTGGGTTAATTAATATAACCCAACTGCATATATTTTTTATTTGGGACAATATTAAATGACAGAAAACAATTTAATCTTTATAGATTTTAATGCAGGTGAATATTTCTACAAAATCTTCAAGAATATGTCATATTATGTAATAAATAATTCTTCCAATCCATAGGTCAATGAAAGTATGTTTTCTTTTATAAATGACATATCAAAATAAACAAATCACATCTATCTATATCCACATGTAGGGGAACAAGTACTTTATATCAATTTATTTTCTAAATAAAACAAAATGCCATGAATCCAATCTGCCTACAAATTATTTACCTTAAGTGTTAAGCAAAATCTCCCAAAATAAGCAATTTGTTTCTCAAAAAAAAAAAAAAAGAAAAAAAAAGAAAAAGAGCCATTTAGCTTAGTACTAACTTGGCTTCTACAAAGCTTATAAAATCTAAATATTGTAATAAGTATGTAAAAGGGAAGATAGTAGGGACCTAGTAAGCAAATATAGAAAAAGAATTTATTATACAAGTAGTTTATATAATTAGCAAAGTATGTTTCCAAAAATGAAATAGCTTTTCTACTTCCATACAATTCAGGTAATTATAATAAATATTACTTAAGTAATTAAAATAACAATACAGTTGAGCAGACTATAAGTTGTTGTGCAAGGGAAGGTAGGGGCGGCAGACAGGATGAATGTTTCCCTCCTGATTAAAAACCCATTTCCTTATTTGGGTTTACACCACAGTGACCTCTTTCAGCAAGTCAAAGGTCTGAGTCAGACATGTGCCTTCTAGTATCAGCAACATTAACTCATTCTCTATTGCCCTAACTGGTATATGAAAGGATCAAGGAAGTAAAAGGTCCAGAAAAGCTAGAGAAGACCTAGTAAAATTATCCAAAATAGAAATCAACTTCTCCAGATTTCTAGTTTACATATTTATCTTACAAAAAAAGGGAAGTCATAGGAAAGTCAGACATATTTTACTAGATCAATAGTCTGAGCTGTGAAGTACCTCAGCAGAACTCTCCTGGGAGTCATTCTAGGGTATACTATACACTTACATGCTTTGCAATAAATTCAACAGGCTTTTTGACTCCATGTCCAAGGGCAGTACCAGGCACACACCTATCATTTGAACTGAAGTAATATTAATCCATAAATTTATCTAAACTGTTCTTAAATCTATAATTTCAGCCCATAAAACTTAGGTACCAAAATATGTTAACTCCTTTATTAAAAAGTGCTTTTCTTTTAACCCACTTGTGATATGATTTAACCAAAATATTTCATTTCATCTTACCAGTGCCTCTCTTGATGGTAGTAAGTTTTGATAATATTCTAATAAGAGTTACCATTTATTAAATACCTATTTTGGATTTTTCTAGTGTATCTTCCTATAGAGTATCTATATTTTCACAATAAATTAAGTTACAGATATTAGCATATTTATCCATCTTCTAGAGACAAAAATTCAGTTTGTATTAATTTTTAAATGTTAAATATCTAATAGAGATGATATTCATATGAGATCTGTCTAGCTACAAAATTTGCACAAGTCACTACTGCTACCTGACTCCTCTTACTCACTTTCCAGAATGAAGTTTATCCTATCATCAACTCTGTAACTCTGTTCTATAAGAACTAATACACACTTCAATTTCAATCATGTATAAGAAGTTAATGAAATAGCAAGAAACATGCCACTGTCCTTTACCTCCAGAGAGCAATTTAGGTAAGTAGTTACATAAAAAGCTGTGGGATGATCAGCTGAAGTTGAAAGGAAAGTCTTTATAAAACTGATTAAAGTGGCCTGGCCTCTTAAAATCATCTTTTTTAGAAGATCTCCCACTTAGGGATTTCTTCAGGTAACATACGAGGATGTGAAGATTTTTATTGAAGTCTAGAACAGCAAAAAATTTCCATTTTTTTCAATATTTCCACTGAGTCCAACATTTTGTAAGCTGTTGGAATAATCATCTTTGAATATTTACAGAACCCAAGTTTATTTACAGAATCCTAACTTATTTGAAGAATGCTGGCACATATTTTTGGTCCAATGGAGGAGGAACATTACAACTGCATCTTGCATTAATGGATATCTGAACAAAGAAAGGCATTCCTTGGGCCTCAGTCATACAGAACTTCCATATAAAAGAATGAGAAAAAAGGATACATAATACTCCATTTCACCTAAAAGAGACTGCTGAAGCACATTTGGAAGAAATGGGCAAGTTTGAGAGCTCAACATCAGATCTTATCTCAATCCTACATTCTGCCTACTCAACCTTCTAAAGCTTAGTCTTGACAGCTTTTGAGAGCACTTAGTATCAACTGCAAACTTGTCAAATTTACACTCTTTGGTGCATTTACAAAAATATTTTAAAAGCTTACCTATAATTTTGATTCTACAGAAAGCTCATTTATTACACTGCTCCTTCTAGAAATATCAATTCACTTCTACACTTTTCCAAAATCAAGCTAGTTTCCTAAAGCCATAATTAAAAAAAAAAAAAATCCAATTAGCCCTTTGGTGCTCAAGTGTTCAAAAGCCTTGCATAAAATCTTACGCAAGCTATTTTTTTTAAAGGTCAAAATAATTAGGTTAATTGGTTCTGAACTGCCTACAAATCTACTTGCTTCCTCAAAATCAGGCAAGATTTGATTTTCCCATGTTGACACTCCTTCCCCTACACGCCTGCCCCCCAAAATTATTGATCCTATTTCTTAAAAGAATTTAAACTGGGCCAACTCATAAGGTTAAAAACTCCAGGTACACCTCTTATGATTCAAATTAGAATGAAGTGAGACAGGTCAAAAAATAAGGATGCCAGAAGAACAGAAACAAAAATGCCACAAATACACAATCAGCTATTTTACTCATATTAAATTCTCCATATGTTTCTAGAAGAATCAGTTACTGGAGTTGCCAAACTATCTAGTAAAAAAGCAGAGCCATCAAATGAGTACAAAAATAATTCCATTAAAATTTTAATTGGCAAGTATACAAAATTGTGCCTGAACATAATATTGTCAGAAAATAAATGTGAAAGAATCCTAATACTTACTGTATGCCTGGTAGTATTCTAAGTATGTTATATTATACAACATCAGCACATTTATTACAAGAGTTATGTCAACTAAGTGTACTACTATTTATGTGGCAGAGCAGTATTTAAAAAAAAAAGTCGGGAGGGGGGATAAAAAGTAGATAGGTCAAGTTGCAGAAGCATTCCCAGGATTCAGGATTCATCTGCTTACTAGAAAAAATTAGGAGTTCCATATCTGCCAAAAGTTGGCAGAAATAGCTGATTCAGAGGCTTCTGAATGGAATGATATTTATTTTATAAATATATTTTTGTGTTTTATTAATAAACATTAAACCTTTGGTAATTTAACATTCATACATTTTTTTAAATGTGACATGTATTGCTTCAGATATTGCATTTCTTTTCAGAATAATAATTATAAAAGGCCATAGGAAAAGGAGACACATAGTTTATTGTTTCCTGGAATGAAGAAGTGAGTGGCATTTCTTTCCTCCTCCATATACAAAGAAGTGGTATGGAATGAAACAGTTACATGAGAACCTGATCTAAAGACTTGGCATGAGATTTTTGGAAACCAACATTAGGAAACCAATCATTATCAAACCTTTATGCTATAAGGAGACCTAATTCACTGTACATTTAGAACACATGCAATACATGTGACAGCAGCTAATCAAACAAGTGCAATCCTTTTCTGTTGTCTTAGAATAACTTCATTAACTTCTAAGATTCATGTTCGCAGAATAGCATCAATAACTCTGACTTATAAGCAGAGTAATAGTACTAAAATTTCCCCCAGATGTTAGTATATCCCAGTATATAATCTTTTAAAAGATGATTTTCTTGACTACCACAGTAGCTATTAAGTATCAAAATGTTAAGGTGAGAATGAATAAGCTTTTTCACTCGTAATATACTGTGGATAAGATTTAGTGCACCATTTATCTGAGTAAAATATTTATGCTTACTGTGGTACTATTTTCCGGAAGGCTAATTTGAAATCATTTTTATCTTTAAAACTGCATAGTACAGAAAAACAGAGTCACGCTAAACTATAATTTCCCCATTAGCAGACTTATAGAAGAATTTATGGTTGAACTACTGTTAAATATTAATGTTTAATTCATTAGGTATCTTATTTTGGTATTACATTAACACACTGGAATGCTAGTATTGGCTTAAATATACTTTTTTTTTTTCCCCCCCTGGTACTAGGGATTGAACTCAGGGGCACTCAACCACTGAGTCACACACCCAGCCCTATTTTGTATTTCATTTAGAGCAAGGTCTCACTGCGTTGCTTAGTGCCTCAATTTTGCTGATCAAGATCTTTTTGTCTTAGCCTCCAGAGCTTTGCAATTACAGGTGTACACCACTGTGCCTGGCTGGCTAAAATACTTTTTAACCAAACACTTCACATCTGAAGGCACAATAATTATTTTATTCCATTCTGATAAAAGCCCAAGATTTCAACTCTGTCAAAGAGAAAAGCTAGAAACTACCTTCACTATTCCTAAAACCCCTTAGAGTTTTAAACATGCTTTTTAATACATTACAGAAATAACTTTTTTAGAAACTTGGTACTATTATGTTAGATAAGCATATTCAATTTGTGAATTAGACTATGACAATCTGCTGCGTACCTCTCAGTCTTCCACATTTGACCATTTCATTTTCAAACTTTACTTGCAACAATTTGTTCATGGACCAACTATGAGTAATTTGGCAATGTATTCTAAGCCCAGTAAACCCACATGTTAGCCAATCTCATCTGGAGAAAAATCACTACCTTTATTTATGGAAGAGATTTTTCCAGTTCATTCATAGTCACTTCTTTCAAGTTAATTTCTTTTATAAATCAATAAGAAAAACTTAATCAATATTAATCCCAATGGTTCATTTTATCGAGCCCTACATCTATATAACTTGACTTTTTAAGTCAGGATTCAAATAGCCATTTTCCATGTGTAGAAAAAAAGATCACATAGCTAGAACAAAAGCTTTTTTTCATTTCTCTCCCTTAACTAGATTATTAAACTAAAGCTCTATGATATAAATTTTTCTCTTCTCAAGGAGAGACTTAAATAGATAAATACAACAATCCTATCAAGTTAGATAAACAGACATGAAAAAATGGGATACAAACCTCTGGAAAGGATTGTGACAATGGTTCTCAGATTATCCAAGAAGTTCAAATTATAATTGTTATCAACACAAGGTTACTTATTAGCTTTCAGTGACTGTCTCCACACCTCATTCCTGATACAAGGATAACGAAGCAATTTATTTGCTTAAATATCTCTGTTCCTTAGTAGATTCTCGAGAACAGGTTATGTTGTGTTCTTTTTCATACCTCCAGATTCCAGCAGAATACTCAGAAAATAAATGGGTGGCATGGAGTATTTCCCGAACAGCACTTGTTTCTAAAAATTACTACTTACAATGAATGAATAAAGTATCACAACATCAAAACAGTAGAATTTTTGTTGTGTTGGTAATAACTGCCATTTATGGACAGAGTGCCTCTGATGCTATCACGGTAGTGCTTTAACAGGGATAAGCTCTTGTGCAGCTAGGTTTGGTCACGATATCAAGTTCTTACAAATGTGATGTACATGGAAGTCTTGAGCAGAACTTTCAAAAGGGCTACTTAAAGGAAGGAGACTCAGCTGGAAGCAGAATGTCACATGATGACACCTGTGCCCCTTCCAGACAACTCTGGACATGATGGATGGAGCTTGGGCAGCTAGCTATCCTGTATGCTGAGATCTTGCTAGTAGATGGTGAAGCAAAAGATCAGAACTTGAGTTTCTAATCACAATAAGTCATGATAATACAAGACTTGGACCACTTGCCTCCAGAATCTTTTCTGTAACAGGGAGATAAAAACTTTTTCATAGTCCTCATTTTGAATTTTCTTTTATAGTCACAGAACCTGATACTATTTGGTAAATACTATTTGGTAAATAATGTTTGGAATTCCAATATGTACATCTGATTTTGCAATTAAACCTGGAGTTTTCTTATTCAAAGTATTTATGTATTACCCTCCATTGCCCCCCCAAGACTTCAGATCATAAAATATATCAACTACACTCTAATCCAGTAATGTGGGAAAATATAGATTTAAAACCCAGATTTTTACTCTAATAAAATTACTTTACAGAGCCAGGGCTACAGATCCATGGGAAAGTGCATGTATGAGAGCCTACATTCATTCCCCAGTATCAAAGAAAACAGATAAAAAATCATGGAAATGGTGAAAATTTCCAGCTGAGCTAGCAACAAGACTAATTTAGGTTTATGAAAGATAATTTGATTAATACCAAAAAAGTATAAAAAAAAAAAAGCTGAGCCACTGAGTTTAGAGTCAGATCACCTAGATTTGATTTCCAAGGTAATTTTAGGAAAATAATTTCATATTTCAGGGTTTCAGTTCACCAGAACAGGATTAATTCAATAATATTTTTAAAAACTTTCAGCTCTAAAATTCTCTTATGTATACTATTCTATTAATTTAAAAGAAAACCCAAAATGTATTGATATTAAATCCAAGAAAATTCCTCCAGTAAAAAACAAGCATGTATTTTCCAGATACAAATGCAGTGGGATCTTCCAAATATCAATTTTGAATAAGTACTTTATCATCAATGACTTATCAGGATCTCTTGTCCCTGTACCTAAAATGTACTTATATTCAACTGTAATTCTTATTTATCTCTTTCAGACCCTAGCATGTGTCTTTTTCAGTGAGCCTTGTCCCTAAAATAGGTCCCACATACCATTTTTCCTTAAAACATTTTTTTCTTACTTCATTTCACTTATTATGATTCTTTATTTACATAATTGTGTTCTTTATGCTCTCCCACTACAGCACAAGATCTAGAGGGAGGTGGCATAACCGTGTGGCTTTGTTTTTACTACTTTATGGGCCGACACATGCCTAACACATAAATGGAGTTCATCTACAGAAGTATTTGTTATATGAAAGAACAAACACGAATGTATGAAAGCAGTGATCACCAGAAAATGTTTACCTACTTACCTCATTGAACACAGGATACATAACTGCGTAGAGGGGCATAGAAACCATAGAAGTGGTCTCAGCTTCATTCTTCATCTCTTCCATTGTCATCCTCATTCAAAAACCAACTACAGTAGAAAAAGCAATGCTAAAATGCAGAGGAATCTTCATTCACTGCAAATTTCTTCTCTTTTTGTGGGTTATAAAACAGCTGGGCACAAAACATACACAGACCTGGTAAAAGAGAAAAGGAACAACACAAATTCATTCTGAAGGGAAACAACAAATACTAATAATTTTCTTCTCCAAATTATAGAGCTCACCTCCCACCCACTTTTGGTACTGGGGATTTAACCCAGGGGTGTTTAACAACTGAGACACATTCCGAGCCCTTTTTATTTTTGAGACAGGGTCTTGTTAAGTTACTAAGGCTGCTTTGAACTTTCAATCCTCCTGCCTCAATCTCCCAAGCCGCTGGGATTACAGGCATGCATCTGTATCCCATCTTATAAAAAGCTGATCTGTTACTTGTGAAAGCCATGGTCAGCACGACATCTTTTTTTTTTCTTGGCAGACTCAAGAACTTCCTTTCCTAAAGCTAACATCCCTAGCAAGGTACTAGTTTACAAAACAGTGATTCAAAAACTGGCTTCACTGGAACACAGTGATTGCTCCATGAAGAACCATGATAAAAATGACATATCTAATTGCATCATATACAGTCTGAGAAAAGATATCAGCAACATGCACAGTTACAGCATTTATAGGTAATATAAAATTAAAGATGCAAAATATAAAATATGTGATCATATGTAGAGACAAGTGAAATAATTAAAAATTAATAAAGAATTAAGTTGTTGAATATCATCATTAAACTTTTTTTGCCAATGGTTAGTTGACTTAATCACCTTAAAATCACAGCAAAAATGTAGTAAACACCAGATGCAAAAGCACACTGAGAGATGACAAATAACTTGCTCCAAGGTCACTCAGGCAGAATCCCAAGATTTGAAACCAGCACTGTGAATTTAGATCTAATATTCTCACATCACAAAACCAAATCTGAGGCTGGGGATATAGTTAAGTGGCAGGGCACTTAACAAACCAAGCTTGAAGTAAAAATAAAGAACATTCTCTCCACTCAAATGTACTCAAAGCACCCAGGTATTACTCATTTACTTAACAAATATATGTTTAGCACATTCCAGAACATAGTTCTTGGTCATTAAAAATTTATCTGTGTTGGGCAGTTCTAAGACTTAAGAAGTCTGAAAGATGCAATCAAATGCCTAGAGTGCTGTTTCAAAAAGCTCCAACAACCTGTTAAATTTGAGAGCTTAGTGTTTTATCATGTTCCTACTAATGAAGAGGAACTTAGCACCCACTGACACCATTTAGTTCTTTTCTAATAGCTGTAACCATGGATAAAATTTTCATATTTTGGAGATGAAATTTGTTCCCTAGCTTTATAAAACAACAAAAAGCCAACTCTGGCGTGTTGGCACAGGCCTGTAATCCCAGCTACTCAGGAGGCTTTGGCAGACTGATCACAAGTTCAAAGTCAACCTCAGCAACTCAGTAAGGACCTATGCAACTCAGGGAGACCTTGTCTTTCAGTGGCTAAAGCTCCCCTGGGTTAAATCCCCAGTACCAAAAAAGAAATAAAGAAAGAAAGCCAACCAGCCAATTCTTATATTTTATTCTACAGGGCAAGAGAAAACCATTATCTAATCCTATAGTTGATTTAAGTAGATGGCTTTGGTCACAGCATAAAGGGGAGAATGGAGGAACAGAAGGTGAAGGCAATGAAAATTTAAGAGACCTAGTACATCAATGTAAGAAATGAATAAGACCAGGACACTAAGCAAGAGCAAGTAGGTAAATACCAATTTTGGTCTTAACGTTCCTATGTAATTACTTAATTAGTAATAATAGCGGTAACTCCAGCCCTCTCAATTTATTTCTAAGTGAAAAAATAGATTTATTTTTTTCACTTAGAAATAAATTTCACTTAGAAACATACACAGACCTGGTAAAAGAGAAAAGGAACAACACAAATTCATTCTGAAAAAATAGATTTATTTTTTCACTTAGAAATAAATTGAGAGGGCTGGAGTGGTAGCTCAGTTGGCAGAGTGCTTGCCTAGCATGTGTGAGGCACTGGGTTCCATCCTCAGCACCACATAAAAATAAATAAACAAAGGTATTGTATCTGTCCGCAACTAAAAAAATGTTTTTTAAAAAAAGTAAATTGGGAATATTTCTTCATAATAAATAAACTGGGAATAAAGAAGGGAAGCTGAAATGATAATGAAAATAAAAAGAATGAAATGAACGCAGAGTACAAACAGCAGCAGAAGGAAGGTATGGTACCAATGAAAAAGCAAGAGAAATGGTGAAACAGGACCAATGACAGAACCTGAAGAGCTCCCTCAGTAACAGAAAAAAAAAAAAAAATCAATTAAAGAAAAAACACCCATTTCTTGATGATGTGAAGGGGCAACCTTCAAAGAGTAGTGTACTTACATAATGGGAGTGGAAATTCTCTACAGGAGCAAAGAGACTGAGCTGGTGAGAGAGGAGTATGAGTTTCTAAGACCTCAGTAAAAAGGAGATAAAATACTAGCAGAGAGAAGAGATGTAATGGAACCATTTTTGTGTTTCACTCTTGTGAACACATGCATATCACTATAAACATAAAGGGTGACAGAAGTCAAAGGATCAGATTGCATGGTTAGAACCACGGAATTCCTAACAATACATCTTTACTTATGTACCACAAAAAAACTGCTCAAATATTTAATTTTTACCTTTTGTAAATACTGGCATTGAATTAAAAAAAAGTGTTCAACAGTCTTTAAAATTAATTTTATAGCACTATCAGCTCTCATTTGTCACCAAAAAGAACAATATTTCAGCACCATTATGTGCTCAACAGATAGCTAGCCTCTATCATACGTCACCATGTTTTAATACTGTTCATGTGGAAAATGCTCCAAAAAACAATTTACAACCAAACTTTTCAGAATACACATCCACAAACTGGAGCCACTTAGTTTTATTGGTATTTACATGAAATTAAAAATCAATGATTTGTAAGGATTTATAAAACCTGAATTATCCTCCATTTTTTAATTCAAATTAAAATACGCTTCTGTCACTCCTTTCACGTTTCTTCATTTGAAATGGTTCAATGGACAATCTGTAATTATTCCAAGTCAACAGAGCCTCTTATGGGAAAAGCAAGATGTTGACCCTTTCACAAAGTTCCTTGGTTTCAGTATGGGCATTACCATGTCCTCCCAGTTGAGCAGCACATTAACAAAAGTTTCAACCCTCTAAGGAGTACTGGTTTCTGGGGTGAATGCTGATAGCACTCCTATAGAGAACTAAAGATGGCAGATTTTAAATCTCAGATTCTGGAAAGGCCTTAAAAGTGATCATATTGAGTAGAAACCTACAGTAGGAACAAAGTCTAAAAAGGGTATATTGACTAATCTATAGTCACAATTAGTATATAGAGAACTAAAGATGGCAGATTCTAAATCCCAGATTCTGGAAAAGCCTTAAAAGTGATCATACTGAGTAGAAACCTACAGTAGGAACAAAGTCTAAAAAGGGTATATTGACTAATCTATAGTCACAATTAGTATTAATAATAAATAATAAAAATGTAATATAAGTATGGTGGCAACACAGCAAAACTACTTTATTTCCCATTTCAAATGTGTTGCTTTGGAGGAAAATTGTTTAGCTTGCATCAAGTTTTGTGTCTGAACTATGAGTATCCACAGAATACAAAACAAAAACCATAAAACGGTAAATGATGATAACCTAGACCAAAAGCCTATTTCTTAACAATTTTTTTCTTGAAAAAAGAAAACCTCTTTATAAGAAGGTTGCAAACAGAATATAAGCAATCTTTTCCTTTATACTTCCCCTTATTTCTTTAAATATTCAAAATACAACTAACATCTAACGCAAGATGAATCAGCTCGAAATATCTTTCTGGCTTAAAACAATAATCACTTGTTTAGAATGAGGATACAAAAAAAAAAAAAATAGATTCTTGGTCACTTCACTACCAAACCCTTAAGTCTTTAGGGTTTCTGTCCTTCCCAGCCAACACTGGCATGGTCACTTACAGAACTACACTTACTGTATCTCTAGGCTCAGAATCAGCGTTTCCTGAAACCGACTCCCTTTATTCCATCTGGGGTATGAGATAACGCTACAGCCAAAGTCCTCAGTACTGGTGTATGCAGTTCTTGAACAGAAAAATACTTCCTAAGTAAATTCTTCACATGATACATTCATGAAACATTTGTAGGCAGATTCTGCCTTATTTTTTTAAGTTAAATTTAGTATTCAGCTTTTTCACCTGGTCCTGTAAACTGTTATTCCTATAATCCCTCCCCTGCAAAAAGGGAATGATTGATTAATGTTGAAGCTTCAACAAAATGTTCATGCCTATTTAGTTTAAAAAGTTGAATCATTCTAGCATTTAGCAGAATGTATGTGTTTATGTTCAGATTCATGTGTATTTCTATTTCCCACAGAGACATTACAGGCAGCACAGCAGACAATTAATGTTTGATGAAGGGGCAAATGAAACTTACATGAAAATAAAACTACATGTAAAACAGTCATATATTCTAATGTCTCTTTTTCATTAGGACTAATTGGGTGTCTTTTAGATACCAGAAACATACTGATGTAAATTTAATGGTTAAAGATTCTCAAAGTACAAGAATTTCCAACATTAAGTTAATCTTGCTCTGTACATAATTCAGCGTTTAGCATAAAGTAAATCTTTCTCTAGGAAGAAGTGTACAAGTGCATTAGTTCCTAGGTGTCTGAAGACTTAAGCCATCACAATTACTTTGGTGCTTATTAAAAATACTATCCCCAAGACTACTTACTCAAAACCTCCAAGGAGTGAATGGTTCAGGAATCTATTTTTAGTGGATAATCCAGATGATTCTCAAGAAAAACACAAGCTGAGAGCCACTAGTCTAGAAAAAACAAGTCACTGGACAGTCAGAAAAGCTGGCTGTTAAGGCCAGCCTCAGGGATACAGGTAAAATTAAGTTTCACAAAGCACCTGGAGAGGAGTTTATGGTTCTGACTTTGTGGAAGTTTCATTTAATTACTGATCTCATTTTTCCATCATAAATAAAAAGGGGGTGAAATTATATCACCTGGAAGGCATTAGTACTCTAAAATTCAGTGAA